GGTTTTACTAACATTTCCATTCCCTTCAGGCTATAATGACTCTCTTTTTAAACTAATTTTAATTGAATATTTGGGGATAGAATATTTTATGAACTTTATACATGACTTTTAAAATACTATATTCAACCAAATCATAACATTTTAATAATGTCAATTGATGAAATAATATATTTGCTGAGTGACCGTAGCACTTCCTAATAATTGTTATAGCTCTTTTTTGTAAAATAAAAATTGGATTTGTAATAGTTTTGCATGATTTTCTCCAAACTTAAAAAAAAATAGATTACAATAAATATGGAAAAATCATTACATTATACAATATATACAAAGCTTCGTCATTCAAAAACTATTTTATGTTATACAGTCATGCAATTGATTTTGCTATTTTTATTCTCAAGTAATTTACATGAGATTTCCATGTCGGCTTCTTTTGATGCTTTATTTTTTACATTTTGTTTTTATTTTTTTATTTTTTTTTATTACTGCCACTGATTTTGTTGTTAAGTACTTTGGTAACAGCTGCAGTTTTAAATGTGTTTTATAAATAAATTTGACTTGAGTGAAAAAAAAAACATTCTTCAGATATAAAATTTTAAAAAATCATGCGCATCATCCTCCATCTTCAAAAATGCATTTTATACTACAGGACCTGCCGCTCAGTGAAGTGCCAAACCCATCTGGTCTCAGACTGGATTGTTCAATTGCGTACACATTCCCATCTAAACAAGCTCAAAGCAGAAATTCTCAGCCATGAATTAAGTTTACAAAACTCAATTCACAATACAGTCTGATTTACAAGCACAACATATACAATAAGTGGCATTTGTGCCCATGAAACTCTCAGAAAGTAAACATCTGTTGCACAACTGGTTACCCTGCGTAGTCGGTCTGATGTATGGCTGCCATAGCCACGTGGCGTTAAAAAAAAAAAATGCTGCAACTTTATCAAATTTCCTGACCCTGACCTACAAATATGTTGTAGTAGCCGAAATTCGTCACCAGCACACAGATTGTGCAAGATCTTTGCTTAAACTTTTACCATGAACTATTTGGGGACAACTCTGTCTGTTAGCAAAATATCTGACGATCCACTTGATTGTTTTTTTTAATGACACTTTCAGGAAATAAACATTGGATGTTCATCTACAACTGGTTAACGTTTGGAGCCGACCCAATTCAAATTGGCCATCACAGCTAATTGATAATATTCAAACACAAAAATAGCTACCTCAGTCATAGATATCAAGCTAAAATTGGAAGTGGTAGTAGCTGAGAGTCTTTCACAACACATTCTCTGAGCTCAACTAATACCCACACAGCTACTACCTCTTTCTTTGTCGACATAAGTTGAGACTAGTTTAAGACTCGGGCATGATGAAAATATGCATTGTTTTAAAAAATGATAGACCGTTTAACATGAAAACTAAAAAGTTTCTAATTATAGCTGCTGCTTCACTCCCCGGTGAAGAGCATTAGTAAGAATTTTAAACAGTTAATCCACAATAAAAACGGATACAGCTATAATTTTTTTTTTTTTAAGTCTTGATTCTAGAAATGATTTTGCTTCCTCCGCCCCGCCTCCACAAATCAAAAGCGTAAACGACCACCGACACCACATTCCACGCTGTCTGACGCCGCGGACCAAATTACCTGACTAACTGCACCACAACCAAAAATAACACCCAAAACACAAGGACACGTGTGTCTGAGATGAGTGAAAACTGACCCCGAGCCGATACCCCCAAAGGATTTTGCGAATGAATGCGTGCACGCTCTAGCGGAGCCCGCTGGATGTACGTTTCCTCCCTGGTTGGGGCTGTTGAGACAGAGTCAAATGTTCTGCAGAATAAAAGGGCCATTGTTCACCAAGGTGGTCTCAGCAGGACCTTCAGCCCCACTCTTTCACACACATGCACACACGCACGTAGTCAGAAACATATGCTTACACATGTGTGTTCACACATCGCTCATAGGCCATTAGACAAACAAACATTATAAACACTGCCCTCTGTCTAATCATAGCTTTTGTTAAAGAGTTGTAGTTACACAAAGCTAAACATTTGGTGGTGGGTGTAAACGCTGCTCTGTGTAAAACACACACACACACACACAGAGGATAATTCGGACATTGCTACTTCCTTCCTGTGGGGTGATGATGTTTAGTCTCCACGCACCACAATCTGATTGGCGTGTTTGATCTCTTCCACTTCCTGTTTGGGAGCACCCCGACCTCCCTCTCCAGGCTCAGATCTGAGATCAGAATTCAACACAGATTCATGTGTTCCACATGTAGGAGGGTTGATAACCAGTCTGAGATCAGATCTGTGTGCTGGACTGCTGCTCTGCAGCGACCGTCTGAATTAACTTGTCTTTCAGCAAACTGTTGAACACGTTCAGGACTCTGAAGTGACTTGTTTCAACGGACTATTCTTATATGCAGACACATGAAAAGACAGTGTGACCAACCTCGTACAACACAGGTTTATCTGAAAAACTTATTACATCACAACTAACCAGAGTACCACATGTGGCACATTATACACCTGTCGACCAACTATAAACTATTATACAGAAATGTAGAACAATGGCCTGCACTATATATCTATGTATATATTATATAACATGTATATAATATATACATATATATATAGATATAGATATATATATATATATATATATATATATATATATATATATATATATATATATATATATATGTGTATACACACATTTGTGTGACACTGAATAGCTCTGAAACAATTGCAACAATGAGCTAAAAAGAAACTCACTATGCAGGGCTCTGTAATCCACTCTGCTTAAATATTTATTTTCTTTGTGATGGATTTTGACAAACAGTTCAGTATTTTATTTTATTTTTACCCAGATTTGCAGATAAGCAGACTTGCTTTGTTGTCTTCTTGTTTGTTGTTGATGTTGTTTTAACCCTGAGAAATCCAGGCATCAACTCTGCTGCTTTTCTTGAGTCATGTCAGTTTGACAGGAGGTCCTCCAGCCTGGCTCTGGACAGACTGTGCTCAAACTACCACACTTCCTCCAAAAGTGGCGTAATTGAAAACATTTTAATGCTCAGTCTGTTCTTGCCTGCATTTAACGTTACCTGACTACAATCAGATCACACAGGATTGGTCTTAGCGCCGGTTAACAGGATCGAAGGCACTTGGAAGCAAGATCCATGCAGGACCACTCCCAAAGTGGATCTCTGACACCTCAGAACATTTCCAGTCTTCACGATATCTAGCAGTTCATGCTACTTTATAGAACTTCACACCACGGTAAATTCAGCTAAAATATGATATTCCTGCAAAAAGTGCAGAGGCTGCTACAGTTTGATTCTGCTGCTATTTGCACTTTCAAACAAGCAAAGGATACTCTGTGAATTAAAGGCCTAACATTCTGTAAAAGATGCTTAACGTGCTTCTTTTCATGAGTTTTATATGAAGATCATGTGGAACTGAGAAGAGAGTTGTAACCAATTTGGTCAAACCTATAAACTAACACTGCACTAAAACCATGGATATACGGTGCGATCCGATGTGGTGATATCTCCGTATTCTTCACATATACGTACAATTTCCGGGAAATTCCGTATCGCATCCCCGGCAGATTCAGTTTTCGGATATCCCCGTATACGGACACAAATGGATCCTAAAAAAATCCCAAAATCCGGATACTTATCTGCGGCAGATCCCGAAAATATGTGACTCTGTTATCCCTCGGGATTCCAGCTTTAGATCTCTTTGCATTCTTGCCGCATCTTTGACGTATGGTTGGTTTCAGATTCATGCATATACGTGACAGATGTCTGTCGGATATTTACAGATTTTTATCTGCGAAGGATCCTGAAGTATGCGATCCCTCGGAGTTCCAGCTTTAGATCTCTTTGCATTCTTGCCGCATTTTTGACGTATGGTTGGTTTCAGATTCATGCCTATACGTGACAGATGTCTGTCGGATATTTACAGATGTTTATCTGCGAAGGATCCTGAAAAATGTGTGCATGCGATCCCTCGGAGTTCCAGCTTCAGATCTCGTTGCATACTTGCTGCATTTTTGACGTATGGTTGCTTTAGATTCATGCATATACGTGACAGATGTCTGTCGGATATTTACAGATGTTTATCTGCGAAGGATCCTTTAGTATGCGATCCCTCGGAGTTCCAGCTTCAGATCCTTTTGCATACTTGCCGCATCTTTGGCGTATTACGTGGCAGATGTCAGTCGGATATTTACAGATTTTTCATTTATGCAAATTTGAGAATCTGATATACTCTGCCTGTAAATACAGGTTTGGCATGTAGGTAAGCCTTCAAGTAAAATAACTATATCTTAACATGTTTCCAATGGTTAGTTGTTGTTTTTTTGTCTTGCACTCCATTTAGTTTTTATTTGTAATACGTGAAGTGCTTTATATAACTATTTAAATCTGCTATAGGCTACAAATAGTTGGCTTCTAAGATCTTTAACATTTTAAGATCACCCAGTTTTTTACATCAAAATTAATGAGTCTTTAATTTTGGTTTATGTACCATCATCATGATGTACAAATCACAAGCTGGACCAGTAAGCACATTACCATTTCAATAAGAACTATGAAAAATCAGTATAATAAACAGTTTATGAAGCAGTCTAGTAAATACACAGTGGTTTGTATCTTCATAACACATACTAATGCAAACATATCATAGACATGAAAACACTGACCATGACTTTCTTAAAGATTTTCTTTTTTTTATTAAAACACACACACACACAAAAAAAAAAAACCCTACGGTTTCATTTGTAAAAAAATCCAACCTACGGTTTCATTTGTAAAAAAAAATAGTTGTTGGTGCCTCTTGGAGGCTGCGTCAGGCTGCATTTCCCACTGGGCACTCTGCAATGTAGCCATCCATTCTGCAGGGCTTTGTTTGAAGCTCAGCAAGTTTGTACTGGCATCTGTCTAAAATGTCCTAGTTTTGCTGCTCTCCCATTCAGGTGGATAAACTTTCCATGTGTCTTTGTATTCGCGTCGGTCTCGTACTCATAGGCATGTTGGCACCCCCTCATTCTTCATCATTTAAAATGGAGCGACCAACAGACCGCCGTGAATTCAAAAGCTTCAACAGAAAACACAGAAAACACAAGGTCAATAAGAGCACTTTTTAAAATGTATACATAACAAAAAGCAAATGCATCCATATCTCAATTCTTAGATTCTCAAACAAAAAGTTTACGGATGTTCCAAAAACCTTTTTTTTAATCTTCCCATATTGAATATTTTTAGTAACTCATATCTACCAGTAGATGGCGCTTTAACACATCTTTACACGAGGACCCAGAATTTAATTAAAAGTTTTACTTCTTCTGCATTGCCAGAAACTATAGTTTCACACATCTACAATGATGTAATGTGAGACTAAAGCAAATCAGATATATTTTGCATTCTAATTCTGTTTCCTCTAGGATTTTTTTTTATTTTTAGCTAGTTTAGTTTTAGCTTAACCTCAGTGCTAACAATGGCTCTTGGCTTGGTAGCCATTGGGGGTCCTCCCCCAGAAAATTTTGAATAAAATAGATGCCATTTCCTGCATTCTGGTGTATTTAACATCTAGTTTTACCTACATATGTAAACTATTCAATAAGTATTTTAGAGTTAATGGCAGAACAAGAAGTACCCTGAGACAAACATGCAGCATTAACACAGTGTGAACATTATTCAAGAATTGTTTCTATAAGAACATTATCAAATATTTTATGTGAACGTAAGATACTAGCAATCACAGCATTGTAAGAGGGGGACAGTTGAACCCGGAGGCCTCCACCTCTGTTTAATGATGGACGGTTTCTTTTCACAAAGATGGCCTCCTTTACTCCTCTCTCAAACCATCGTTCCTCTCTATCAAGGAGGAACGATGACTGAGTTTGTCTCAGCTCCTCAGACTGAAGAAATCTTTTTGATACAAAGAAGAATCTGTCCAGAGGAATTAATTTATTGAGCCTGCATCAGGACAATAATCTGTAAAGCTTTAGTATATTTGATAAGGAAAACTCATTTTGACTTAACCAATTAATATATAATTAATATATTGTCATAACTCAGAACAAATCTCCCCTTTTTACAAAGCCTTATGATCAATTCAGGCCAGTTTCATTAAAGGGTTGAATCATTTAACATCTCAAGACACTTTTCATATACAGCAGGTCTTCACCAGACTCATACTCTTCATTATATAATTATAATAATATTCAGTCAATGAGTACTCTTACCTGCCCACTCTGTGCTGCGTGATGTGGAGCTGCATCTTGGGTGCTACAAGACAAAGATTCAGTTATGTGGCGTTGCATTATAATATTATTTAAATTATATAACAGTATGTTAAGTCACAATGCCACACACCAACAGTTCATTGACTTGATAACTTGAACGGTGTTTTGCAGGAAAATCCAGGAAAGTATTCTAAGTTGATTTGTAGTTCTAAACATATTTAGTGGTCATTTTTTGTCCAACATTGATTACTTCCAGCCTAGATCACAATTATATTAGCAAATATCCAAATATGTAACTTAGACAATGACATCATAAAACAGCTTTTAGAAAAGCAAATAGACACCTCTCACTGAGGAGTTGCCCAACAGTGGTCAGCAGCCACTGGTTATAGATGTCTCCCATTCCCCCTGTATGAGTGTCCATTTTATTCTGCTCAGTACAACTTTTCAAACAGCCTCAACTTGACGTGACGCTGACAACGCCATGTTGTAAAAGGTCGAGTAACACACCGGTAAAACTACATATTTTACGCTCTAACCACATGCTTGGTCAAAAATAATTAGAACTAAATATGTGAAGCAGCAACTTACTGAAAATCGTAGATCCGCTTGGCTTTGAATCAAACACGTCGCGTTATCCGAGAAGGACCTCGTTTGTGTTATCCCGCCAATGTAATACCGGAAGTGTCTTCTTCTTCTTCAGTTAAACGGCTGTTGGAAAACGGTGCATTACCGCCACCAACCTGTAAGGAGTTTGGCGACGTGGACAATTTAATTTACAGTTAAGACTCAAAAGGGTTTACTTGTGTGTTTTATCTGTAAATTAAGTTGTTTCATGGACTTTATTTTTTCATTTAAATAGCCTGCATCACACTTTCAAGAGACGTTTACCTAACAGAATAAATGAAAAGAAGAAAATGGACAACCATATGTTTATATTGTTGAGGTTTGTAAAGTCAGTAAAATTAAATATTTTATCATTATTGATGAAAAGTTGACATGAAAACCTCACATAAACTAAGAATAAAAAATAGCTAAATCTGTTGAATTGCTGTACAAAAAAACCAATATAGGATGTCACAGTGAGCTCATCCATGAAGTCATTTGCTAATCTGAAGAAGTTCCAATCTGTAGTTGTTCCAATCTGTAGTTGTTGGCTCTATTTTATATTTAAAGTATATGATTACAATTATAAATACCATTAGACTAAATGTGATTCCACATGTGATTATCATTGCCATCTTAAATGATCTTACAATTTTCTTACTTCTTTTGTTTGCTTTATGGTTTATCGTATGTGACCCATCACATCAAAATGAGGATTAAGTCAAATTTGGTCAAAATGAGCCCATTACATCTTCAGATTTGTGGCTTTCAAAGCTATATTTTGATACTGGATCATTCTGATATCAGAAGGGGATTCAGAGATATGACTTAATTTGGCTTGTTGGTTACAATAATACATTAGGCTATTATTTGGTCTGAAACCTAATTGTTTAAAATTTTAATAAGAATTTTTAAAAAAAATTAGGCTTTTTTTTTTTTAGACAATTCAATCAAATGTTACACTGATAGAACATTTATTTGTTATATTTTGATAAAACGCAATTTTTGCAAATATTTTACTCAAAACACTTTTAATCCTCACTTCGATGTGATGGGTCACATATTACCTTTTATTGTACTTATATTAAATGAACAGTTTATAAAGTAGTTTAGTGAATCAGGTGTTTTACACCTAACTGCACATTAATATCATATACATAGAAAACAAAGAATTTGTTAAAAGATTTTTATTAACACACACAAAAAAAAACTTCACTTCAAATACGTTTTGTCTATGCCTCTTGGAGGCTGCCTCATGCTGCATACGCCACTGGCCACCCTACGATGTACCATTCTGCTCGACTTTTGTTGCAGCTGGGCAAGTTGGCATTGGCACCTATTCAAAATGTCCGTGAGCTTTGTTGCCCTCCATTCAGGTGGATACACTTTCCACGTTTGGCCGTTTTCACTGTCTGTCTCTTCATCGCTCATCAGACATGCAGACGCCCCTTCAAGATATTTGAACTCCTCGTCGGTCAGAATACAGTGTGCAACGGATCGTCGTGAATTTAAGAGCTTAAACAGAAAAGACAAAACATTTGTTATTACTTGTTTTACTTTTGTATTACTGGATGGATGGATGGATGGATGGATGGATGGATGGATGGATGGATGGATGGATGGATGGATGGATGGATAGATGGATAGATGGATAGATGGATGGATAGATGGATAGATGGATAGATAGATAGATAGATAGATAGATAGATAGATAGATAGATAGATAGATAGATAGATAGATAGATAGATAGATAGATAGATAGATAGATAGATCGATCGATCGATCGATCTACTCACCCTATGCCTTCTGTTGTTAAGAGCTTTGGCTCTCCGATCCTCTTCCATTTTGTTGTCCTCGGTCAACTTGGATTCCCTCTTGATATTTTCAAAATATCTGTTGCAGGCTCCTATGAACACAAAAAGTGACATATGTCATTTGTCAGCACTTAGTGTTAGTGTTTTTGTAGAATTACACAGAAGACTGAGATTGTGTTTTTTGTTTCACAGTGGTAAACTATACTTAAATGAACCTTGTGTCTCTGGTAAAACCAATTTTAAAATCAGAACTTACTTCTTATCAAAGATGAATCATATTCCTCCTCATCCATGACTGTCCGTGACACGGAGCTTGTGACTGCGCTGTTGTGCTCAGACGTGAACCTACAGATTACATTTCAGAAATCAGAAATGAATCACGCAACATAAGCTATGATATATCAAACAGCTGCAGTGAAAATGTGTTTTGGAGTTCTTTAAAGTGATATTATTTTTAAACTAAAGCAGTGGTTCCTTCAGTGGGGAGAGGGGTGGGGCACTTAATAGAAAAATGAATGCTTGGACACTGCTATCATAAAAGGACAGGTTTTTGTCAGGTCATAAATACAAAAAGACTGAAGGTGTCATTTCAGCCTAACAAATTTT